TTCTTTGGCTAAGGAGTGTCATATAAGTGTAAAAACAAACAAACAAACATGTCAAAAGTTTTGAGTAGTTTTATTTGGCAAAACTGTAGTTAAATGGTCAATGTCAAATCTTGTGTGAAGACGGCATGCTTTTCTATGCTTGCCCTCTTTGTTGGCAGGCCTTAGAGGCGAGTTCTGGCTGGCTGTCCTCACACCACAAGAGATGTCTGTGGGGTATCACCCATGACAGAACCCAGAGGGATTACTGCTTTATTCAGTGCACCCAGACCTCTGCATCCTGGACAGGGCGACCAGGTGCAGCTTACAAAGGGTTCTGTGCCTTTGCTATTTGTGTAGAAGAGGGAAACTTCTAGAAACTCAAGAGCATATCCTTCAAACAATGCTCATACAAGGAAACTAAGTGGTGTGCAGATCTAAATGTTCTCGGCACAAGTCAGTTAACAGGACAAAAAACAGACACAGATTCTTGTCTCAATTGAATTAGGGTTATTACGTTGTAGCTGTTAGATGTTATATTCCAAACCAGTTTCCCAATTAGGCTGCAATTTGAAGGTCTTAGAAGGACCATGACATTAAGTGACCTGCTAATGCCTCTAAAAATATTAGCAGAAAAATATATTTACTGACAAGTAGGCTTATGCATAAACAATATCTCGTAGTCAGTTCATACTTCTCATCTTTCCCTTATATCTTATTCCAAGGAATATGTTGCTACCAGGCAGAATTATGCTGTGGGCAGTTCCATCTCCTTATGAGAACTGACAGCTAGAAAGTGAGACTCGGCAGCAAAATCTTAATTCTGCACCAGTCAGTGAGAGTGTGTGCAAGACCACAGTTGATACGACAATGCCTTGAGGCTGAAGTAATAATGTTATTAAAGATTAAATATCTTTATTGGCACAATATTATATCACCTATTCTCATTAGTCATTAACAGGAATGCCTTACACTTGATTTTAAAAGTTCAATTCGGCTTTCTTTCAAAGTCTGGATCTCAAAGCAGGTTACAGTTCAAAGCACATGACAATTGTATGCATTCATTTGCATCTGGTCTTGCTCTAGGTCAAAATGCATGAGTGTCTGTCATGGCATCATTTGGATTGAAGGGTGGTTAACTTTGGCTGGATCATGCTCTAGATCTGTAAAATCTTTTGATCCTGTAATAAACCACATAATGCAAAGAGACCTTCTAACAAAACTTCAAGTGTATTTAGATGGAATGTTTTCTGAAACCTAGTTCTTCCGGCATACCTTAAGTACAAAATGGTAGTAAACAAAACTTGAAAGTAAAATTTAGGTCATCTTCCACTCTTTTTGGACTAAATGCAATCTGTGATCTGAGCTCCCCTCCCCTGCATTGCATGGGTGCATTAACTCACTGAAAGTGCTATGGTATAAGTGCATTGTTAGGGCTAGTTCCCAGTGACTTCCCCATATCAAGAACTGTCTTGTTCTTGTCCACATTCTGAGTGACAGCTGAACATCTCACAAGGAAAGGATGCAGTAAATGTATTGGTCATGGGTTCCTCGAAAAAAGGCCTGGAGTGGAAGAAACCCATTCTCCTCCACCTCTTTGCTATTTCTGCAGACTTGTAAATAACCAGGCACCTGCTTGTAATTGAAATCAAGGGTGTGATCAGATAGCTAAGTAGGAAAGCCTTTAAAATGGGACAGGGATAGTTCCTCCTCCCCTCCATGTTTTTCCTAATACTCCATCACTGTGTTGGATAAGAACACTCTTAAGTATGTGTGGATAGTGGCAGATGGGCAAGTAAGGCATGGTCCAGGGCAGGTAACTTCTAGAATTTTATTTGCAAGGTTGTGTTTTAGTACAGATAAGCGATAATAGTGTTAAATGTTCTACTTAATAATGTAGCTAAATGTTAAGAAAGTCTGTTCACAATTAACATGAGTTCTAAAAAGTACATTGGCACGGATCAGGATTTAAAAACAAACAGAAAAGAAGCATCCCCCACCCCATCCAAATCCAGCAATCTTGGGAATAAAGGCTGTCTCACTGAGTTCACAGTTGGCTATATCAAGAGTTATTTTTAAACTTACTGGAAATGTTACATCTGTCTGAGTCATAGATATAAGACTAACATCTGTAATGTTTTCTCACCCATCATTTATTATCTGTACTGGACAGTTCTAATTTAAAGATCTGTGTATTTAAAAAGGCTGTTTAAAGCTTAAGGGCAACAAAAACTTAGGATTGCTTTGACAGATTTCAGTGTCTAGAATGCTGTCATCTGGAGAAATGTGGTGTTGCAACGCCCAAACTAAAGACACAAGAACACAACAAGAGCCCTGCTGGATCAGTCCAGGGGCAGCATCCTGTTCACACAGTGGGGACCAGCTGTTCTCAAGATCCTTCAGCCAGAAGATGAATGCTCCAAGCCCTCCTGCCCAAGTTCCCCAGCAACTGGTGTGCATCCTGCCTCTGATAGCAGAAGCTTGAATCAGAAACTGCAACGAATATTAATGAGGAAACTTAGCTATCATTTAGTGATAGATCTGAATTGACAAACCATTATTTGTGACCAGCTGTTAAAACTAGAATTGGAACGGCTAGAAGTGAACTTGCAGACCATGGTTTATGCTAAGTATAGTTTTGACATGGTAACTGACTTGCTGCAAAAATGCTATTGTTGGTTGCATTCCTGGATAATTTACAAATGGATGAAACTAAGCTAAGAGAACTGGGAGTCGAGCTGGCACAATGCAAGGTGTTGCTGGGGGGACGGGGACCTCCCGAAGCTGCCAGGGCACCCCACTGCTAGCAGGTGGCTTCCCGGTGTGACTGCCCAGATCCCATGGGCGCACACATGTACCTGCACCCTTAACACAGCCACACTGCCCCATTCATTCACTCGCCTGTCTTCACACAGGATGTACACACAGGCATATTACACCCCTCACTCCTGTAAAAGCCCATCCACATAGCAATTATGCTCTTCAAAGCACCTCCACTGTGTCACTTGGGACTTTTTAAAAGCTGTAGAGCAGAGGCAATTTTTCAAGAGGAAATGCAGCTTGTCAGGAAGGAAGGTAGGCCTGCTTTGCACAATAGTGCCCTTCATATTCAGCCACTGGGCTTTTTGAAAGCCTCCATTGGCACCAATTGAGGATTTTAAATGTCTGATTGCAGCACAACCAGGGCTATTTTACAGGGGAGGACTGGCCATTCACTCTGCAGTAGTAGCACCCCTAAAGGCCCCCAGTTTGGCAGTTATGCTACTGACAAGTCACCTTGGACCACAGAGTGCAGCAGGGACAATCTCTTCTCCCGCATTGCCTGCAGGAGAAGAATCAGGGGCACCAGATGGGGAACAGGATGGTGTCAGGGCCAGAAGTCAGGAGCCAGAAGTTCTGCATGCCTGAACTTCATCATGATGTGTCTCTTGGTCTGGTGAAAGTTCACGCCCTGGTTTGACACAATGCCTGAATTAAGCCACCGACACACAGGCACTTGGGGGTCTCAGAATGAAAGTAGACGGCATGTCACATTCACAATTGCATGCAGTGCATCTGGTTTTCCCTTGTTTAATAATGTCACAATAATGGTGTCAGAATTGGCATCGCAGTCAGTGGGGGAAGAGAGCTGAATCCTTTCCCGCGCCATGCTGCAAGCCCCACTAAAGTCTCATCTACTATTTGCCACTGGAGGCAAGCTATTCTTGGGGCCAACAGCAGCTTCCCTTCTGCAGCAAATAGCAGCTTTGAGCAAGGCTGATGCTTATTTTGTCAAGATGGCAGTATATTTATTTATTTATATTTATATCTCACCTTTTTTCTTTTTAAACTCAAAGCAGCTTGCATCATTCTCCTCCTCCTGCTCTAAATCTTATCCCCACATCCACAACCCTGTGGGGTAGTTTGGGCTGCTGGTCTGTGATGGGCCCAAAGTCACCCCAATGGCTCCATGACTGAATGAGGACTAGAACCCACATCGCTGGAGTCCCAGTCCTGAGCTCTTAACCACTGCACTGCACTGCCCCCCCCCCAAGTCCAGATTGCCCCATCCCCTACAGCCACTATTTATGAAAGAAGTTCTAAATCAGGAAAACAGACTAAATCTACACTCCCCATGCTGCTTCACTTGCCCCTGAGCCCCCAGCTGTGGTTGGCTCGGCCTTCACTGCACTCTCAGAGTTTCACATTCATTCCTATAGTAGCTGCATCACCTTCTGCTGCATAGAAGTGTTCTCTGGTGTCAGACTAAGATTTTGCCCAGGAACACTTAAAACATGCAAATGCACCCAACATCTGTTGATAAATTTTATTTATCGCATGGGAACAGGGCTGCAATTCCTAGTCGAGTATGGCAAGTCTGGGTTGGTTGCCACTTAAATGTTTGACTCCATCAAGATGGTGATGGTGATGCATGAATTCTACCTAACCTGAATGAGCAAATGTGCAACCATTTGATGAACTGCCATTCAGTTTGACAATCCTGAAAGCCAACCTGAATGGTTTATCAAATTCTGCCCTTGCAAACAAAGGAGGGAGCGAGACCTGTTTTTTCCCTTTTCCTTTTGCTAACTAGCCTGAAGAATTTGAGGCATTCACCTGAACTCTTAGCACTGTACACAGATACAGTTGGAAAGTGTTGTTAGCATTTTCTGGCAAGCCTGGCAAATATTCTGCATTTCTTCCCAGTCACTTTTCTACGATTAGCTGCAAACCCCCATTAATCAAAGCTCACTCGGGTGTACTTTCTTCAAATGCTTACTATGCCTGGCTTTTGAAAATGGGACCCTTTGCTCAAAACTGTGAACAGGATATGTTGTTATGTCAAAATAAACCATCTGGCTGTGCAACTGTTTCTAATTACTCCCCTGCCTAGACTGTAAACTTTGGGGTTTGGCACTGGCCTTTCCTTCCAGGATGCTGCCCAAATCCAGCTTCCAGGCAGCTAATCAAAGGCACTTGGTGGAGAACAAGGGGAAGGAGCTGGTTTTGGCCAGCTTGGAACTCCTCTGAGCCTTCCAGGTCTGTCTGTGTGTCGGACTCTCCAGGAGAACTCCTCATTTACTGCCGCCTTGGGATCTAGCAATGTATTCGCAAGGGCTACACAGCTTGGTGCTGCTTCTGCTGGTGTCTTCCCTGTTTGTCCGGCTGCCTGCTCTTCCACAAAGTTTCTCCCTGTCCCTGCGGTAAGCGAGGATTTTAAACTCCGCTGTTTTGTTTAGCAATCAGCTTTAGAGGTCTGGGCAACAGGTTGTGGCAAGAAAGAAGCATTAAAAGGTCAGGACGTGTGTGCGTGTGTACTTTTCTCCAACTTCCCTCTGCAAGGTTAAAAAAAAATTGCATGTGAGTGCTGAAACAAAGCTGTAGACATAAATAACATTTTGACAGTGAACTACAAATGTGCAGGATTCATAAACTATGCCAGATCGGAGTGGTTAGGCTGAAGTGTGCCTTGGATTTTGAACTTGGTCTTAACGAGTGCCACCTGAATCTTCCGGAAACATACAGACTTTCTTGTCCTGGGGTACCAATATCCTCTGATCTGCATTACTATTACAGCATGTTCACGCTCCTCCACTTGCATTCAGAGGCCTGGTGAAGCAGCTTTGTACAAATCTACTACCCTGAACCAATGTGGCCCCTGACCTAGGAAAAGCAACAAGGAGGGGGAAATGCACATTCCGTCTCCAGTTAGGTATTTCAGTTAAGATACACAGCAGTTTACCTTAAAAAGCTGAACATCGCATCATCTGGCATAGGGCAATGGACTGTTTGTATCTGAGTGCTGCTCAATTCCATTGCCCCAAGGAAGAAACAAATAATAACTCTGTGCTTGTAACAGAACAAGCAGAGTCTGATCTGGATATTTTAACAGGCTGATGAAACATATTTTGATCATGTCATCTTCTGGGTTCAGTCCCTTCAGGAATAGTTCTATGCATTCTAATTTGGGAGGTTGTGGGGAGAGAGCAGGGGAACTGATGAGCTGAAAATGAATCTCCAAGTATATTGAGAGCTTTAGCAGGCTGAGGGTAGTATGCTGATCTGGGAAGAATTTGCATGGCTGCATCTTCTCTTCCAGGACATTAATGTAATTGTCCAAAAAAGAGTTGGTACTGGTTAGTTGGATGTGCACGCTGCACAAACCTATTTGCTGGCTCCTAAATGACCAGCAGGTGCAGATCACCCTCTACTGTTATAGCTCAACACAAGTATCAGACTTTCCATACCTCTTACATTTTCCCAGCATGCCCATGAAGGCTCTGTTCATTCTTTTTGCAATGGGGCCAAATAGGAGCGTGATTCAAGTGGACATGACATGAGCAGCTTCTACCTGATCCTTCCACGCAGAAGAAAAGCATAGTGTGAACCAGGCTATACCTGCAAGGTATTGGGGCTCCACCCCATCCTGTGCCTCAGCATCCCAGCCCCCCCCCCCCCCTCCAGCCACAGTCTGGAACGTGCCACTGAGCTCATGTGCACAGCTTGGTTCAGGTGAGACGATTCCATGCAGGAGTTTGGCAGTGTGAAACAGTCTGATTATTGAATGTGACAATGGCTGATAAGATGCTTTGATTCAGTCTAGGCTGCAATCTAGCTGCTTGTCTCCAAGGCAAGAAGAAATCAAACTTTCTCTCCACTTTGTATTGACACTCTGCAAGTCCCCCATATCCCTCATTGACATCTGCTTTGCTCTGTCTGTGTCTCTCTTTCTCTGCATTAATCATTCATAATGATCAGGCTGGCTCAGTGTTTCTGTGTGCCCTGCTTCAGAGGACTGTTGTATGGCTAAAGTAAAGTGTACTTTGACCTGGGCATCCTAGACCAAGGGTAGCATACAAACATAATAAATAAATATTTTCTAGAGAGATGCTTCCTTATCCTCCATTTTGCACAAATAAGTTGTTTCTGGAAGATTGGCTCAATTCACACTGGCTGTTGCTCCAAAAAGTATTTATCAACTTGGTGTGGATTGTGCATCCATAATTCATTGCTGCTATGAGATTTGACAGAGTTTGATTCCCCATGGCTTCATCCCATTTATTTAGAACCCCAGTTATGTACATTTTTAAAATATAAACAAAAAGAGATCCCAAAAATAGGTTGCCTGAGTTTAGTTTCAAGATAGTCTATGGACTGACTGGACAGGTGAGCGTGATGGGTCAGGTAAACAGACCGTACAGCAGCAGCTCTTCCGTCACCTGTTCTGTGATTCTTTCTGCAACTGTTTGCTCTTTTGTCCCCTGCAGAAGTGGCTTGGGAAGCACCTCATCCTGTCGACTCTCTCAGTCTGAGTCAGAGCGCAGGTGTCGGAGCCCAGGTGGCAAGCTGTGCAGCGGCAGAGGCCAGTGCGACTGTGGGGTCTGCATCTGCCAGGTGACCGAGCCAGGAAAATACTATGGGCCGCTATGCGAATGTCACGAGTGGGTGTGTGAAACCTACGACGGAGACACTTGTGCAGGTAAGCAAGGCTCTGCGGCCCTCAAGGGCTTCCAAGGCTGGTGCTGGCATGTCAGCCATGCGAGCCAGCAGTGGGCACTGGCAAATCGAAGCACGTTTTCGCTTGGCCTGGCAGAGTGGAGTTCCTGGATGTTTGGAGTGTAGGTGTGCGAAGGCAGACTGAAGTCAATGGGGAAGAAGCGGCTTGACTGAGCCATTAGCGGGTTAGAATTAAAACAGCAGTCCGTGGTTGAGCCTTAATTAATCCACTAGAGGATTTAGGGCAGTTTTTCGAACTGGGTATCCTCCAGCCATTTTAATGTGCAGCTCCCAGCATTCCTGACCATAGGCATGCTGGCTGCAGCTAATGGGAACTGATGTCCAGGGAACTGATGTCCAGAGGAAGCTGGTTTAGGCTAAGCCTAGCATCTGGTTGGTTGCAGCAGTTGTGCTGGCTGTGACTGCCATCCAGTTCTGGCACATGGTTTTCTCCCGGGTTGCAATCCTAAATGCACTTACTAAGAGGTAAAACCCACTGAATCCATGGGGCTGACCTCTGTGTGAGCATTGATGAGACTGGGCTGTATGAAAGATGCCTGCCTAAGGCACTGATTTGCTTTGCTATGAATAGAAACCATAGAATGATATAAATGTAATAACATGAGTATGTTCACCTGTCTCTTATAATGGCCCAGCTTCTGTTATCAAGGTTGAGCATTGTTAAACACATCAATAACACAGAAGCAGAAGAAAACACAAATTTCTCTCTTTGGCAAAATACTGGAGGTGAGGTCCTGTTTCATGTCACACCCTGTCTACACATTTGTACCAGTTCCATGTAACGTGTCACTTTTTCAAGCCAAACCCCACAAGTAGGTCAATGAGAGCGTTGCAGCAAGTGCCATTAGTAACAAATTCATTCCAGCAACATGCTTGGCAGATTTTATAGGAAAAATCAGCAACGTCTTTTAACAACTCTGTAGTTAAGAATAACAATTCCAGTAAAGACACGGGGGAGGGATAACCCTACAATGTGAATGTAAGGACATTCTTAGTCTGGTATCTTTGACTTTGCTATGTAACGCAGAACATGCTTAAAGCACATTCACAGAATACTGCTGAGTAGGATAGAAGCCATGAAAGTAAAATAACTATGCATTGGGGCTTACATAGTATTTATGACTGATGACTGCTGTACTTTCACATATTTTTAGGGCAAAACTTCTGCTTTCAGCAAGTTTGTCACTCGCCAGAGGAAAGCTTCGTGTGTGGGGGGCGGAGGAGGGGGGCTGCTTGCAACTATTAGCAGTTGAAGAATTGACTTGTTTCTGCCTTGGTGCCGTTTTCTGGTGCTGCTGTGCATGATCCCAGACTGTCTGGGATCCCAGACAGAATGTGGTGACATCACAGTGTCACATAGCCTGCCCGGTTTGGCCCTGGAGTGATGGCATTGAGGAAAAAGGCCCTGCTCTGAGCAGGTGCTACTTCAGGAGGAGGAAAGAAAGTGCCCCAGTTGCAGAGGAAGCTGATCTGATTCTCTCTGTTTTACTTACTGCATTGCAATGACTTCCGCTCTAATAGTAGGCTGGTGTTTTCCATATAAACTGAAATGGAAAGCTGCCAGTATCAATATTTTATCTAAAACCTAAGTAACCTAACCCTTGTATTTTCTGAGTTCAGTGACATTTTTGTACAGAAAGCAATACAGTCAAATAATTTAACTCTCCTACACTTTGGCAGGGTGTGTGTGTGTGTGTGTGTGTTATAAAATACATGCTTTTGTTTCCCTTAAATCATACCACTTTACATTGCATGCTTTTCAACTGGGGTCAGTTTGTCTGTAGGGCTTCAAAATCAACTCTCCTTTGGGTTTTTATTAAAATAATTGATTTTTAGTGGATTTGGTTATTTTTGTGTGCTGCAGTAAATCTTTCTGTGTCTTGTATCCCCTCTATTATTGATTCACAAACATTCATGATTTTTGAGTAATGTATGTAAAGCAACCCATGCAGTAATGTATCATCTTTGCCCGATTCCCTGAAACTGGCTTATTTTCCCCCCTTATACTGATTCCTTTTTTCATGTCCTGGAGTAAAAAACAGTTTCCTACTAGCCAGTCCTCAATAATTTGAGCTCCATCAAGCCAAAAGCAGCCCAACATGAATGTGTGGTATTATGGGAAGTTAGGAAAGCAATAATGAGAGGGAACTTAATAGCAATGGCTTCAAAGAAAAAAAAAGGGAAAAGTTAGAACCAACCACCAAGCTCCTTGATAGAATTCAAATATTAGAGAGCTGTCATAATAAGTCTTTAGATAAATCAATTCTAATCGAGCTTGGATGATTAAGAAATCAACTAGATTTGATAGAGACAAAGGAAATGCCGATGAAATTAAACTTTTATTTATTTATTTATTTATTTATTATTTAGTTATTAAAACATTTTTATGCCGCCCCATTTGCCGAAGCCTCGGGGCGGCTTACAACAATAAATTAAAAAATAATTATAATATTAAATTAAAAAATATAAACATTAGATTAAAAATACAAAAATACCAATATAAAATAAGCTACCCTGGCCAGATAAAATCCAATAATATTAACAGTTAAAATGCTGCTTAAATAAAAAGTTCTTCGCCTGGTGCCGAAAAACAAATAACGACGGTGCCAGGCGGACCTCTCTGGGGAGCGCATTCCATAGATTGGGCGCCACTGCTGAGAAAGCCCTCCTCCGAGTACCCATCCTCCTTATTTCCTTCACGGAGGGTTCCCGGAGAAGGGCCTCTCCCGCCGATCTCAAGGGGCGGCCGGGCATATATGGATGTAAGCGCTCCTTCAGGTAACCAGGACCCAAGCCGTTTTAAAAACTTTTAAAAACAAATACACTTTGAACAAGCAAATAAACCTGGAAGGTACCTTGGTTACAGTCCTTTGACTTTTCCACATTTTGTTGTGTTACAGTCGAGAACTGAAATAGATTGAACTGGCTTTGCTACCACTTGATATAAAACAGATACTCAATACAGTGAACATGCAACATACTTTTATTGTAGGATAAAAGTTAACTGAAATAAAATTGGTGCTTGTTGGTTACATAAGTATTCACCCCTTCATCATGATTATACCTATCTTTGGTGCAACCCACTGCCTCCAGATGTCACATATTGTAAGTAGTTGAATGGAATCCACTTTCTACCCTTTGCTGTGACATGCCTAAATGATCTTCAGGGCAACCCGTTGCTGCCAGAAGTCACATACTGCAGGTAGCTGGACAGAGCTCACCCATTTGCAATTCCAGTGCCACATGATCTCAGATGAAATACAGCTGTTTCTGGAAGGTTTGTTCGAGAGCATATCTAAACAAGCAGCATCATGAAGACCAAGGAGCATTCAAAACAACTCCAAGATAAAGTTTTACAGAAGCACCAGTCTGGGTTCTGTCATTTTTTAAAATCTCCAAGTATAAGATTCCCATATAGCAAGCAGTGTTAAGTACATTATTACATAATGGAAAGAATACATACAACTCTGTGTAGAGAAGGTCACCTATCAAAACTAAATGACCAGGTATTGATGGTATTAGTAAGAAAAGCGGTGAAGATGCCAATGATAGCTCTGAAGGAGCCGGAGAGATCCATGGGTGAAATAGGAGAAACTGTCCATGTGAAGCAACTATCAGCTGAATGCTCCACAAAGCAGGGCTTTATGGAAGAAGACGACAAGAAGCTGAAGGCCTTAGAATGACCCAGTAAAAGCCCAGACCTCTGTCCAACTGAGACTCTGTGGTGAGACTGCTCAACACCACTCCCCATCCATTCCAACATGACTGGAGCAATTTTGCCAGAGAAAATGGGCAATCAGCGCAGAATACAGATATACAAGCCAATGAAGATTCACCCAAAAAGACTCACAGCTGCAATTGCTGCCCAAGTGATTCTACTACATGTCTGCTTGGGGTGGATCCTTACCTAGCCAACAAATTCCTGTTTGTATTTGCTAACCTTTGTGCCACAATACAAAATATTTGCCCAATCACATTGCCAAACATCTTGCGTACATCAAGTGGTAACAATGGCAATTCAATCAGTTTCGGTTCCAGCCTGGAACACAAGAGAAGTGGTGTGTGTGTGTTTGGGGGTGGGGTGCATACTTCTGTAAGGCACTATATGCACATCATGGACATCAGTTTTGATTCCATTTGGTATCTGTTAGCCACTGGTTCTTTTTTTTTTAATCTTTTGTATGCAGAAGTGCTTTGCTCATGTTTTAAATATGATGCATCTTAAAGGAAACTGTTGCTTTAAGTAACATAAGCTGATACAACACAATGATGACTGAAGATTGATTGCAGTCTTATTTTTCAAAAATAGGAATATTTTTCTTTTGCTATTATTGTACCAATCAGTTTAATGAATATCTTGTACTTTGAGATGAATGGTGATTTCAGAAAGGTTAAATGACCAGGTATCAAAAGGGTTACTTGTAGTACAAACATGGCAGATGTATTGATAATAAGACCGATTATAGAAGTTGTGGCTGAGGAAAGCAAGGCAGCAATATTTCTCATTCCATTGCATTCCATTTTAGTCCATTTGAGAAATATGTTGGTGGCACTAACTGAAATCCAGAGGAGCTATAATACAAGAAGTTAACAGGCAGTACTACTAGATGCTGAGTTTCCTGAAAAGTCAGGGAGATGCACAGAGAACAGGTGTGCTTGTTTGCACCCTGTGAAGAGAGGAAGCTGGGGTCCTATTCAGGCATTTGCTTCAACACAGGTGAGCTAAAACGGTATGGGGGCAGAGGAGTGCACACATGCTCCCCCCTAACAGCCCTGTGTGGTGGTGCTCCACTCCAGAACTCCACCAAACCTACTTAGAAGTCCTGGTGTGACAGAGAACACCGATGAGGCAGATGTTTCTTAGAAATCCTGGTCAGACCTTTGCACTAAACGCACACGGCTTTGAAGAGGGTGCAGGGATGCTGGACGCACTGCATCACTGCCTCTGAGGCAGTTTTAAAC